TTAACTTGGGCTGTCAGAAAAATATTTGAAAGAAATTAAGCACCTTTAGAGTTTGAATCCATAAAATTAGGGCGCTCTATGTCCTTAACCCAAAACCCACAACCATTTTCTTGAATAGACCCAACAGAACCATGACCTACAATCTTCGTATGGGCTCATGCTTGGTCCATTAAAGCTTACCGATTGATGGTCAGAATTTTGTAATCTTAGTTGACTGCAGGTGCACCTCAAGGACAAGTATATTGCGCATTTGTGATCGTAGTCAGAATCAAGCAAACAAGTGATGGTGCATGATTTCCCCCCAGCAAATGTGCACATCTCTAACCTGGTATATCACCTGGAGAGGCAGCTTCCCATTTATGCTTCTCTTATAGGAACATGCCATAAGTTAGTTGGAAATAAGTCGAGGCTTTTTCCGTTGCCCTCACAGGCAACCAACCTATGCGGGATATCCTTTCCCCCGACTTTTATCTCATAGAGATATCCCTTCTTTTGATCTCTCACAGGCATCCCTATGCACCGAGATTAGCCTTTGATATCTAGTTCTAGGTTCACACTAACCTTGACCATGGGATAACCTCAACCCTCATGGTACCCCATTGAGCGTGTGAACCAAAACCCATGGTTAGGATTTGACTTAAGAATATTGAAAGACATGGTGTCAAGGCCTTGAGAGACCACATAAATCCAACAACGATTCCACTCTATATATTGTAGTTTTCTAAAGCTTTACATTTTCTTTTCCCTTTTTCTCCATGTAATGGAAAGAAAGCACAATCGAAGCTTTAACCCCATTCTTCTATTAATTATTAATCTATTTGTAATATGATTACTGTTATAATATTATAAATAAGAATAAGTTTTTAGAAATGTTTTTCTAGTAGTAGGCTTATTTATGTCAAAGTAGTTAAATATGACATATGTTTGAGACTTTCATGACATCTTAATAGCTTCACTATGTTATAATACTTTCTGGGCCTGCTTTGATTACCAATTCAATCGAGGCTATAATTAATTTTAGCAACCCATGAACACTGATTTAAGCCTAAGTCTACATGTGCGTTGTATGTCCTAGTTGGATTATTATCGTTATGATGCTTCAACATAAGTCAACATGTGCACTTTATGTCCTAGTTGGTTTATTAACGTTATGATAGTTCACTAGTTACAAACTTGCAATAATATGTACAGAGGTGACATTTATGCAAATTGTATGTCATTTATAAAGAATATGCGATATGGGAGCCTGTTGTGAAGATGAATATTGAGAGCTCCTACTTTTCTTTTAATTGTGTTTATATCCTGAAGAACTTATTTGTCCTTCTTTTTAATTAAAGGGTACTTTTATATGTAAGCTAAATTTAACATTTACATAATATAATGCAGAGGTGCGTGGAGGTTAGTTGTCCTCCATGTGACTTTCTCTCTTTCTGAAAGTCTCTTATTTTTCTTTCTAACCAAGCTTTTTTTATCTCTCTTGCTGTCTATTTTCTTCTCTTTCCTTCGTTCCTTAGTTGTTGCTGTAGTTCGAACTCGGCATCAAAGCTCGGTTGCTTTGAGAAGTTTCTTTTGAAACCCTTGAGATGTGATTTGGCCATGCGCAGATCGCTAGAAACATTTAATCTGAAGGGAAAAAGGAGGTATGAAATCCTAGATTTGGAAAAGAAGTATAGAATGCAGGATCAAAAACCCTAGATCTGTTTGGTATAGTTCGATGGTGCTAAAGTCTGTTGTTGGACCCCTTAAATGGATTGAACCCTCGTTTGTGAGTTGTGAACTTAGTCCTTTTCGCGATCTCTAGCATTGATGATCTCGGGTCCCTGTTCGAAGTGTTTTTCAGTATCTGGCTGTGCTGATCAATGTGTTGGTGTTTTTTAGCCTGTTTGTGGTCAATATGGTCGAATATGAGCGATTCAAGCCATTCTTCGACCTTCACTAATATTGCACATTGTAACCTCCAATATGCATGTCCATGGAGATAGCCCTGGTCTGCATATTGTTACTGTGAAATTCAATGGGTTGCCAATGGGTTCACTCAAACTTATGGAATAGACTATTAGGAGACATTCACTCCTATGGCTAACATGAACTGCATTCGGGTCGGTTTGTCTCTGGCAGCTAACATGGAGTGCGTATTACATCAACTGGACATCAAGAATGCATTCCTTCATGGGCGGAAGAAGTGTAAACGGTTCCTTTTCCTGGATTCAGGATTCCTGGATATGAGGGAAAAATGTGTAGATTGAGAAAGGCTATTTATGGAATAAAAAGAAGTCTCCTTGAGTGGTGCGTGGAGATCAGTTTGGACCATAGTTAGCAAATCAATGATTAATCGCCGATTTTTAAAAAATTTAACGTTTTTTTGAAAAACGTTTAAAACGACGTTTTTTTGAAAAGTTTGTCAAAAAATCGTGTTTTTTTCATTAAAACGTTAAAAACGCGTTTTTTTGGAGAACAAATTAAACGGGCCCAAAAAAAAGCATTTTTACTTGTATTTTTTTTAAAAAAGAAAAAAAATTCCTGATGTGTAATTTCTAAAAAAAACGTATTATTTCCATAAAAAAAAAATCCTAACAGAGAACACTCTTGTTCTTGCAAATTTCATAATCTTCATGTTCCTGAAAAAATATATTATTTTCATCAACAAACCTAATCTTCATGTTCCTGCAAATTTCATAATCTTCATGCTCTTGAAAACCCCCATCCCCAAGAACCCCATTTGATTTTCTCTCTCTAACAGAGAAAGCTCCCATCCCTAATTTTGAGCTTTTTCCAAACTCACAGAGCAAAACCCCCATCCCCAATTTTGAAGAAGCATACCCTGTTTTCAATGAAACGCAGGTCTTTCAAAGACCTTGCTGTTCTATCGAGGTTCCTTATCAGTGAGATCGAGAGTTCCATCGAGCTTCTTCCAGGTCTTCCAAAGCCTTGCTCCATCTTTTTCCCCAAAGTCTTCAAGTTTCACAAATGGTCTTGAAGAAGCGGTTTTCAATGAAAATTGGGTTTTTAAAGTAGATTTTGGGTATGTTGATATTTAAGTAGATTTGATATTTGTCGATATTTAATTGTGCCTTTTTTTTTTTGGGTATGGTGATATTTAAGTAGATTTGATATTTGTTGAAGTATTCAATGTGAAGATTTATATGGTGTATGTTGGGCATGTTGATATTTAAATAGATTTGATATTTGTAAAAAAAAAAAAATTGTGCCTTTTTTAGGGTATGTTGATATTTAAGTGGATTTGATATTTGTTGAAGTATTTAATGTGAAAATTTATATGATGTACTTTTTTTTGTTTTTTTAAGTAGTTGTGATCTTTGTTAAATTATTTAATGTGAACATTTATATTGTGTATTTTTTTTTTGGTATGAAGTAGATGTGATCTTTGTTAACCTATCCGATTTTTTGACTCCAATTTTTTTAGCCTAGTCCGATATATTGGCGATATCTTTACAAGAAGTATTTTTGTCGATCCGTATTTTTTATCCGATTTTTTCATTCGACTTTTTAAAATAAAAATGATTTTTTCCCGATTTTAAGGTAAGCTGATTTATTGAAAATCCCTGACCTGCTAACTTTGGTTTGGACTCCACATGACTCACTATCTCTCTTCTCACAAAGTGTCTCTCCTTCTCTTTCTTCCTATCCAAGCTTTTGATCTCTCTCTGTCTTTCTCTCTCTCTGTTCCTCTCTATTTTTTTCTTTTTTACTTCTTTCCTGGTTGCTGCTGTATTTTTAACTTAGCCCAAGTGTAATTTGATGTATGTTTTTAATTTTCAAATGTTACTTGTCAAGTGTATTGCATGGAGCTATAGAAGCTTAATCACTTACAATGATGACGATGTATATTATCTCGATTTATACAAAGTCCTTCAATGAAATTTTCGAGTTATAAAGCAAGATCAGTGCATAACTCAGTAACACAGGCACGGAATCACCTGAGTCACTTAAACCTAGCACCAACAGAGTCTGGAGGTTCCTAAATCAGCAAACTACCCAGGTATAGAACTAGCCTTGGCCAGTTCTTTATCAGACTTGGCAAGTTCTTGAGTGACTTACAGGTTCAGACAACATTTTTTGCTTCGGGTGGCAAAAGGCATAGATGAAGTTAACATACGTTAGCGAACATTGGTATTAAGTCCCCCAAATTTCATCTCTAGGGTCATTTTAACATACTTCAGCTAACATTGGTATTAAGCCCCCAAATTTCATCTCTAGGGTCGTCTATGCGAAGGATTAAGCAAATTTCACAGATTTGAGAGGATTCAAGGTTGTCATTTTTCAGTTTAAAAAAAGCTTCAATGAACCTCTGATCTTCTAAATCCGAAAGCCTCACCCCAAAATACTTTGGGGGTTCGATTTTGTGGCCTTTGTGGGTTGGTCTGCGACTGATAATTGCTTCTATATAGTATTGTATGTAAAGTTTCAATATTTTTACCTCAAAGTTAAGTTTTCTGGGGAATTAGCGTAAATAACCTTTGTTTTATGTGGTATTTAAAAGATGGTCCCCATTTTACATGATTTATGCTCCTGTCCTCTTTTCTTTAATTTTTTATATTTTTCCATAAAATAACCTTGGCTTGGAACTCGAAGTTTTAAATCAGGTCTTCTCTTCTTTATCAATAGATACATTCGAAAATTTAGGTTCCGAACCAACTTTTTGGTAACTAAACTGGTTCAGAACTTCAAGCTCCGAAATGGTTATTCTGTCAAAAAATTAAGTGTAAGTTGGAGCGCTCTCTCTTAGAACTTCAAACTCCAAACTGGTTATTCTGTCAAAAAATTAAGTGTAACTTGAAACTCTCTCTCTGTCCCCCCAGTCTTTGTGGGGAATACACTCGAGTCCACTGAGACTTGGCTGAGTAACTTGGCTCTGGCAATGGTTGAGTCCGATGCCCGAGCCTAGTTATTGAACATTGGGTAAAATTGAGTTGTTTGGATATATGCCTATGCATTCTAGATCATCTAACAAGAACTTTTGCAATGAATGTCTAGAACAGCCTGTTATAGCTTATGCTCAAAAAACATGGAAATTAGCTTCTCAGGAGAACATGCATGCTGAAAGTGGTTATTGGCGGCCAAAGGTTGATGGGTCAATTGAAGCTGTTATTGCTCAAAGTACTGGTCTAGTGGAGGTCCAGGTAACTCTTGTTTCCTTCAGATAAGTTCTGCTGTTTGTATTACAAGAACATGAAGAAGTCCAAGTGGACTTCTGCATTTCAAAATTTTGTATCTTGGCTATACTGGATTCTGAAACAAAAATGTGCTCTTAAACTATTGAGTCCTGAGATAAGAAAAAAATTTAAGTGACAAATTTGTTGTATTCATTACTCTAAAAATTATGGGGTGTTGAGGTTATTGATATGCTATCATAAGCTGAAGCTTTTAGATGACCTGTCACTGAATTCATGAATCAATTCATCATATATTAAAATTATTGTATCTTTTGCTTAATTTTATTTGTTTGCAGCATGCAAAGTACACTTTTTCCATGTGCCTAAAACTTTAGTGAAATCGTTTCCCTTCCATACGTAAATTGCAGCATAGAATAGGGGAAGATTAACAGCGAAAGGTATTGGAGTAAACAAGGTCAATCCTCAGGGTGATTTTCATCTCTCAATGAACTCTGTTAAATTTCTTGTTCAGCCCCTCTGGAAGTATTTTAGTATATGGAATTTTGAAATTGCACAATCCAGAGTTCAATTGTGGTTCAATGAGTTGAGTTGCTTTATCACCATAGGAAGAAAATAATTTAAAAGGAGACCTGCAATGGGAGCAAAGGAGTAAAGTGATTTTCCCAAAAGCTTCCTATGTAAGGGATACTCCAAGTGATTCGGTGTAAGACTCACCTATACTAGGGGACACCTTGGCCTAATTAAAACCCATGGTCCCCTCTATGCATGCCTTTCTCCAGCTGTTGCTCTGTCTATATTTTGACGTTTCAGGTATGTTCTTAATCCTATCATATTCCTATATTTCTGCTCAACCTTTATCTGGCTCTTAGGGTTTTCCTCTCTACTTGGACCCTATTATCTTTTTTTAAATTCTTAGGTCTTCCATTTTACATCGGTATTTTTTTTGTTAATCTCATTGCATCTACTTGCTGCACTTGTCAAAGAGAATGTCAAACCCGAGGTTCTTACATTGTATAAAAGGGAAGCTCTTGTTGGCCGTACTTGAATAGTTGAATCTTGCTCCCTAAAGGCAAGCACCTTCTGTATCAGGAGATGCCTTAGCCTGAGTAGAGCCCTTTCTTTTCAGAATTTCTGAAACCATGGAAAAGGCACGCAGCCCTTACGCACACACATATGTGGGCATCCATACGCACACACATATGGGTGTGTATAATGTGGTACACTAGGTCGATATTGTACATGTGGTATTGCAGAAAAACACCTAGTTAAGAGGATTTCTATGATCTAAAGCTTTTCAAAACATCTTAGATTCATCTTTTGACAAATTTAATTATACGCATGTTCTCTTAGGACCTTAGATTTGATTGTCCATCAAATGGATGGTGCGGGTCATATCTTAGATGAGTACCTTATTTGTGCTCCAAATCATTTTCTTTCTTAGTTTGATTTGTGAGATAAACAAAAGATGATTTGAGAGATTTGTGGACAACCAGATCCCCTGACATGGTGCTTTGGAGACGACACCAAATGTGCAATTTGCTCTTACGGGATCACCAATATTTCTTGTGTGCGCATGTGTGTGACAATTTTATCATCATCATCATCATCATCATCAAAGCCTTTTCCCAACTATTTGGGGTTGGCTACACATATCTTGGTTTTCCATTTTGCTCTTTCAAAAGCTAATACCCTCAGTGAAGCCATAAGTCCCCATATGTTTTCTGACTTCTTCCAACCATGTCCTTTTGAGCTTACCCCTTGTCCTTTTTGAGCCTTCTATTTGAACCAACTCGCACCTCCTAACAGGTGCTGTACTAGGCTCGCGCTGCATAGGCCTAGCCCATTTAAGTCTACTTTATCTCATCTTATCACTTATTAGAGCCATATCTAAGTTCTCCCGAATGTATTCAATTTCAAATTCTATCACTGTCAATATCCCCATCTCAGCTACACTCATTCTATGGCTATGTTGTTTCTTGACTGCTAACATTTTGCCCCATAAAGCAAAATTGGTTCCACAGTTGTCCTATAGAACTTCCCTTTTAGCTTCATTGGTATGTGACGATCACATAAAAGTCCGGTTGCACATTTCCACTTCACCCACCCAGCTCTAATTTTATGTGCGGCATCTTCTTCAATCTCCAGTTTCCTAGAGTAATGACTTGATATTGTAAGTATGCTCTTTTTTTATATTTCTTGGCTGCCAATCTTAACTTCTATTATTACTTAATTTGTATTCCACATGTCTTAGTCCGGCTAATTTGAAAACCTTTAAATTCTAGAACATCCCTTCCAAGTTCTAACTTTGTACAGGTGTGGCTTGGGGTCTCATTGATTAGAACTATGTCGTCCGCGGTATCTCATCTTGTAATTGCCTAGTTAAGTCATCCATAATTAAGACAAAAAGGTATGGGCCCAAAGCTGACTCCTGATGTAAACTTATTGTCATTGAAAGCTCACTTGTCTCTCTACTAGTTGCTCACACACTAGTTAGCACTCCTTCGTGCATATCTCGCACCAAGTCAATATTGTATCTGAAGACTCCTTTTTTTTCTAATACCCACCAAATTAAACCTCGAGGTATGCTATCATAAGCTTTCTCTAAATCAATAAAGATCATGTAAAGGTCTTTTTCCTGCGCCCTAAACTTCTCAATCGGTTGCCTAAGTAGGAAAATAATTTCAATTGCCTCCTTGGCGTAAAACCGAATTAGTTTTCTGATATACTCGTTGTGTGCGACAATCTTATCTACTTAACAAAATGCAAGTAGGTTATCCTTTTGTCTTGCATGGTAGAACACAATGATTAAAAAATTGGTGAGACAACTCGGTAGTGTCCAAGTTGGCTGGGACCTAGTGGGTTACCGGTTCGGTTCTTGCCAAGAGTTGGACGAGTTGGTCCCATAACCCCTTTTTTTCCCTCGCATGAAAAAAAGAAAAGAAACATTTTAGCTGTAGTTTTGGACTTTTTTTGATCAATTATTGGTCCTTTCATCTATAGTAAATCATTCCAATCACTCTTTTGAGCATTAATCCATCAATTTGAGGGTTGGAACAAGATTGGTAGAGAATATTCTGATTTCAGTGAGTTTTTATCATCCAAATTGCGTTTTTTTGTGCCTTAAAACCCAAATCTGCCATTCTTACTTGTTCTCCCTCAAATTTGAACCAAACAATTGGAAATTTTTTTAGAATTGTTTGTGTTTGAGCTCACTAATGAACCCTTAAAGAAATTTTCTGGATCGATAACAAACTTACAAGAGATCTAATGTCAAAGTTGTCAGGTTTTACTGGATAGCAGCTCATTTGAAAAAGAGGCTAAGATTTTCTAGAAAAGTCTGAAATTTGGAATTTTTAAGTATCAATTTGTGTGGAATTTTTGTCTAGAAGAGGGTAAGATTGATTAAACTAGGTATTTTATTTTTGCAATTAAAACTTGTATTTCTTTTGATCTTTTTTGTTTTCTTTCTTTATTTCCAGGAAAATGGGTCTTGGATTTTTTAACAAAATCTGAAAATTTTGCAGATTTTATGGGGTTTTTTATTTTATTTTATTTTATTTTAAATTTTTTTTTATGTGCTTTAGGATGTGTTAGCAAGGTTTAATTTATGTTGTTCTTTTCCCTATTTCCGAATGAAAATGATTTTTTTTGGTTGGTTCTCTATTCTTCCAAAAATGGCTCTATCGTTTGAGAAAAACATAAATCTTTGAAAGTATTATGTTGAATTTTTTAGGGACTTTTGTTCTAGATTGTGTTAAGAAAGGTTTAAATATTTTTTTGTTGATTTTTTTCTTCGATTTATGATGAAACTGCTTTTTTTTCTTGGTTTTATATTTTTTTGAAAAAGTTCCACAAAGTTTTGAACAATTTTAATGTAAATAACTAAATATTAAAATCAATTTTTTTATTTTTATGATTTCTGTGCTAGATTGTGTTAGGATTGCTTTAGATAAAATTTTTATTGTGTCTCTACCTAATTTCTAGTGAAACCTTTTTATGTTTGCTCAATTCTCTATTTTCATGAAAATATGCTTGGATCTTTGAAGAATTTTTTTTGAATATTTTGTTTATGTTTTTTTTATCAATGATTAAGTTTGATTTCTGTTTGCATGGTTCAGTATTTTTTTGATGGAAAAAATCTCTATTTTTCTTAAAATTTATTTAATACAATTTATCTTTAATTTTCATGTTTGCTTTTTTGGTGATTCAGCAATTAATATTTGTTCATGTGGAAATTCAGTTATATTGTGAATTTTGTATTGCTTTTTAATCATAATTAAGGTATATTTCTCAAAGATATATAATTTTTAGATTGTATGTTTTGACTTTTTTGTATATGATACTGATATTCTATCAACAATATGGTTCTCGCTATTGAATTTTTCTGCAGTTGTTACTATGAAATGATTGTATGGCACTCAGGCAGCAACTAGAATCTAGTTATTCCCATGTATTTCACAATTCCCTTTAAATATACTACTTATTTACTAAATTTTTTCAACTGACCAACTAAATTTTATTTTTGATAACTTTTGAATATTATTTTTGGAAATTTTTATAATCTTAGGATGGTCGATGAATTGGTCCATGTTGGCTGGCGACCCACTCTGATTTTTTGAACATTGGTAGAGGGGAAACTTTTAGCCCTTTGCATGTATTGAATATCATAACATCCTAAAAGGATTATGAGTAAGATTTTACTAAAGAATGTATATAAAATGGTTGTAGTTTGAGACGATTGCCTATAAAAAATGTTTACTAAAAAAGCATTAAACTCTAGTCTCTTTCTCTCCGTCTTGTCTTTGTATCCCATGCATCTCGGAGGTTTAGTACTTGTACTCAAGGTTTTCAAACTCGGCTCAGTTGAGGAACTTGCCACCAGTCGTGTTGAGTTACTGGGCATCTTCAAGTCAACTCAGCTGAGGTTGTGCAAAGCCATGCAATAGCCACAAGAAAATGAATAGAAAATTGGAAATATCCCAAAAAAAAGGAAAAATTTAAATATG